AAAAAAAAAAAAAAAAAAAAGCTAGCTCTACTGTAAAGTAGCTGTTTTGGGACTGCCTTCTGCTTACCCAGCAGCTCACATCTGAGAGGTCAAGGGAGGGACCGTGCACCCGGTCTCCTAACAATATATTCCTGGTTTGGATTTGATTCAGCAAGTGCTTTCCTCTAGACCCCAGGATGGCTCTTTCCAAGGGCATTCCTTTGCAGGCCTGGCTGTACTGGATGCTGAGGGAAACGCACATAAAAGTGGCCCTGGGGGGACCGGCCCTGCAGTGACCACTCATTGCCTGCTCTTCTCACAGGTCTCAAAGGCAGCCATGGCAGCAGTACCCGAACTGGCCAGTGAGATGATGGCTTACCACAGGTGAGTGCGGACACCGAGTACTCTGAACAGGGCTCCCCTCTCGTGAGTGAAGGTTGTCTATGCTTAGAGACCAGATGTGTCCCCAAATCTCCTCGTTAGGTGGCAGACAAGCTAACCCACCCCAATCCAGCCTTGGGACTCTGACGCCAGCCACCCTTGCTGCTGCAGGGGCTTCCCACATTCCCAGTGGACATGCCAGGGGCCCTTTGCAAGTTTGGCTTGTGTGGAAGGGGCTCTGATTTTAGCTGACTCTTCTGGGCCAGAGTTTAGGTCTCGGGACCCAATCAGGCGTTCTCGGGATGCCTAGCAGCATGGCCCAGAACCTGCCCTCTAGACTGTCCCCTGCACATCGCCATGGAACTCTCCAGAAGTCTCCAGGCAGCCTTGAGGAACAGGCTGTTCACAATTTTATTAGTGCAAGGCTTGTGTGCACAAAAGGAAAGACATCCCTGAGCCATGTCTATCTTTATTGCAGTGACGAGAACGACCTGTTCTTTGAGGTGGACGGCCCCAAACACATGAAGGTGAGACTCTGGGTTTTGTTCCTGGTGTGTGGAAGGGCTCAAAGAAAGGGGCTCTGGGCTGCCTCACCCCCCAGGTGTTTTGCAATGGGCTGACTTTTGCCTCTTCCAGTAAGATAGACACCGGCTGCACCCCACTATCCCACAGTCTCCCCATAAGGCCTTGCATCGCTGGGCAGCTGCTTCACACAAGGAAGACAGCCAAGTCTTCAAGGAGATCTGGTCCGCCTTTTGTTTATTATTATTCATTTTTTTTTTTTTTTTGGCAGAGAGGATTGAATCCAAAGGTGCTTTACTACTGAGCCACATCCCCACCCCTTTTTATTTTTTACTTGGAGACGGAGCCTCACTAAATTGCTAAGACTGGCCTCAAATCTGCCATCCTCCTGCCTCAGCCTCCCAAGTTGCAGGGAATACGGGTGTGTGCCACCATGCCTGGCTTGGTCCTCCTCTCAGGAGATGGGTCCAGTCTACTTTAATCATTTGATTTAAACTCTGCCACCCAGAGAGGGTGGCCTTGGGAACTAACCCATGCCTGCCCCTTTTTCCTCCCTGGGATGGAACTTAGGTCAGGAAGACATAGACGGTATCAAAAAAGAGATGGGCTGGGAGTCAAAGCTCCCAATTTTTGTTAGAATTGCTGTTTGATCTTGGACCAGACACCCTCCCGCTGTGGTCCTCATCTGCAAACAGATCTTCTCTGCCACCCTGGCATCCTGGAGCCCTGAGGTATGGGCGTCTTCAGCTGGGAGCTAAGTTCACCCCAGCAAAGGGGCCTTCTTCAGGCTCACACCAAGGTCCAGCTGTCTCTTCCCAGTTGTGTGGAGCCTGATAAGTTTCCCAGGTGGCGCAGCCGTCTCTCCCCCCAGTTCAGGCCAGCTTCCCCCAGCCTCATAATCCCGGAACTTCTTGCTGCTCAGCTCGGCTCTCCTCTGTGCTGTTGGGTCTCTGTCCCTGTCCTTCAAGCTCCAGAACCACACCAAGCCTCAGGGCAACTCCAGCCAGGCCTGAAGGCAGCAGGGAAGTGGTCACAGACTCCACAAATAGCCACCCTTCTTACAGTGTTGGCAGAAAGCCTGAGAAGAAGGATCTGTGTAGAAAAATCCAGAACTCGTTGAGTGAGCCAAGATCAACAGAAAAAGTCATGATCGTTATGGTTCCAAAAATTTTAATGGCAGTGTTAGAGCATTAGGGAAGAGATAGGAAGGGTGAGAGGGTGTATGG